AGCAACAGGTTACAGTTCAGGTCCAGAAATGCTCAGGATATAATTCTTTGATCAGGACAGCCTCCCACTCAGCCATGCCTGTAAGCATGCCTCTCTTTTGCCCTCGGTCTCTTTGCCTGGCCTCTGCCGTGCTCAGGCAAGTGTTACAAAGCTCTTTACCTCTGCCAGTAGCTGCACCCCACTCCACCAGCAAGCCTCCTGCCCAAAGGCACTCCGCTGTCTTGCTCCGTGGGCTGGTAAGCCCACCACTCTGTCTAGTGCCACCCTCTGGATTCTGAGGCCCCTGCTGCCACTGTCTCTCCAGGAGGTCCAGCGCCCAGATCTCAGGTCCAAGGATGTCCTATATTGGCTGCTCTTTCTTCTTAATGATAGTGAGACTCCCCCCTCCCTTTTCTGCCTCTGAAATGGCTCAGTTTAAGCCTATCAGAATGGCAAAACTGACCAATCCTCATGTTAGAGTTCCATATCCTTTATTTGCATGGTCCCATCCTCCACAAAGGTGCCATGTACCTTATTTACATTATTAGCAAATTAGCCAATCCTTTCTGTGGGCCACAAGCATCTCACATTTCTATAGTCCCACTCAGTCATTTGTTGGGAGTTACAAAGACCATGGCTAGAAGAACCATACCAAGTAATTCCCTGCACTACAGGAAGGTTTTCATTATACATGTATAAACCACACCTAGTTTTCTGTCCATCACTGGCACAAATACTAAGTGTAATATATGGAAATATGTTTAGTGTATGTGTCAAGTATGTGAAATTATCTAATCCTTGTATTATTCTGCTCATCTTTATCATGTGTTCATAAATTTTTCATCCCAAAACTGTTCATAGATTCACCTTTCATGAACGTCTCATATAAGATGAGTAAGTTGTATAGAGCCAGCTGAGTAATTCTTGCCATATAGAGACCAATAAGCAGGATTGTCAAGGCAGCTACCCTACTACTTTGTTCCCTCTAAAAATGCTGGAGAGGGCATCCTTGTCTGAAGAAACCAGTCAGATACCAAGTAATTGTTCTCTGAAATGGCTGAAACCTATTTATACACAGAACTGTTTTCAGCTCTATAGTTTGATTTTTGCTGACAAGATCTCTAGCAAATAATCTCTTCTGGTCATTTGGAATATATCTTATGAGCTATAAAAATGCTCATATCTTGACTCAATGTATAATCCCACCTATGATGTTTTTTCTAAGGAAAGAAAGTAAATACAAAGCTTTAATCATAAACATCACAGTGTGCTTTATAAAAGTGAACAGTCAGGAACAATCAGAGCCAACAAAAGAGGTGACTAAATGATGGTGCATCATTTTATTTAAAATTATAATTAGAGAGACTACATAGCAGCATGTTACATGGTATAGTAAGTGAAAAGAGCAGTTCCAAATTTTATCTATGTAATTATGACAACTGTGTACAAATTACATAAACACAGGAGGTCGCCATGAGTTGGAATTGACTTGAGACGACAGTATCAGGTTTGATTTTTTTTTTTTTTTTTTTCTTTTTCTTTTGATGAACAAAGGCTAGAAAGTGATGTGGGCATTTGTGTTCCTATGGCAAGATTTAGGAGACTTTTCTTTTACTGTCAGACTTCTGTGTTGACAGTGGACAAGGGTAGAAGGTGGGTGATGGATGGGGCTGCAGTGCTCACCAGAACCATTCATCATGGAGAAAGGGGTTTGTGTTTTACACCAGAGAGCTTGAGCTTCATCCAGGCAGTGGAGCAGAGAATGACAGGACCAGATTTGTGTTTTGCAAAGAGTGCTGTGTGGGGAAGGAATTGGAATAGGATGAGAATGCTGGTCAGGAGATGACCAGTGGGCTGGACAGGGGAGTGCTACCAGTCCTTGGAGATATGGGGAAGGATCCTTGGCAGTGGCAGCAGTGGGACTAGCACCTGTTCTGAAATACAACCGTTGCACTTCAAGATTCTTGAAATGTGTTTCAGATGTAAATTTATTTCCTATATACATATCCATCTGTATGCAGATCTTTAAAATGTATGCATATGTGTATTCCATCTGCTTCGGAAATATTCGGAAAAGCCTAGCTGAAGATGCTGGCAAATTTTTAATAACATAGTCTTATCATACATTCTTATTATATGTTTCATTTGAATAATAATAGAATGTCTTTAAAATATGACCATAGTAAAATGATCCTATTGTAATGGAATTATTTTGCTATTGCCTCTACTATAATGGCCCTTTGTTGAGCATTCACTGCATTTATGTGGCTACATTTCTTAGAATTGCCCTCAAGTTTATGTCCTGGCTGGTTCCAGGAAGAATGTAGTGCAGCAATGCTAGGGTTACAAATCCTGGGTTTCAGAATGTTACTGATTCTTGAACCTGTCCTCTCTTTTATCTCCCTTATACTCAGCAATCCGTCTGCGTGCTAACTACTTCCTTGCCACCCACACTGCACACTTAGATCAAGTTCTTACCCTTCCTCGCCTATGATTTCCTTACACATAGTAACACTTCAGTTTCCTGATCAATGAAATAAAAAATGAGATTAAATATACGTGAATGTATTTTGTAATGTATAAAGGGATACACAAATGTTAGTTGTTATTCTTTCCAATATTAAAATTCAGTGATTCTGACTACCACAGTATTTCATTTGAAGAGAAAATCATGTGCTGTTTTTCTTCCTTACTGTTCTACCATAAATAAATCAGTGCATCATTTTGTGTGAGAAAAGTAGATCATTTTAATCAGTTAGAATCTGTATTATTTTTAAAAAATATTTTGTACATACTTTTTTTTTAATGTGGCAAGAAGCAAAATAGAGCAAAAAATGCATGATTAGAGAAAGGCAACGTGACACTAAGTAAATAAAAGGAGTATGTATCTATAAAATTAAACTTAATTAACCTTATTAACCTTAATTAACCTTATTAGCTATATCCCCTAACTGGGAGCTCTGGTGGCATAGTGCCTAAGGCACTTGACTGCTGACCAGAAGGCTGGTGGTTCAAACCCACCAGCCACTCCTCTGAAGGAAGGTTGGGCAATCTACTTCCGTAGTGATACTACCTCGGAAACCCAAGGAGGGGTTGCTATGAGTCAGATTCGACTCGACAGCAGTGAGTTAGTGTAGATCCCCTAACTACCACCTTGGCAGAATAAATCTCTGTGTGCCTAAGAGATGAGTTTCCTACTGAGCATGACTTTGGGACACTGTGGGGAGAAAACCTGTGTCTTCTTTACTGAGTACATCACACAGAGAGGGAGGTCTTAACTGCCACACAAGTAAGGCAGAAACCTGGTAGAATAAGGAGGGCACATCCTTGGCCAAACCCCATTCTGACGGAGTCTGAATGCCAGATGCTAACTTTTCAGCATAGAAGCAAAATGGTTGTTTCATGCTGCTCCTTATTGTTGGTAATTACTGTCCAGTCAGTTCCCACTCCTAGAGGCCCCGTTGTGTGCAGAGCAGAACTGCTCCATAGAGTTGTTGAGACTGATTTTTCAGAAGTAGATTGCCAGGCCTTTCTTCTGAAGTGCCTCTGGGGTAGTTTCGAACCCCCAGCCTTTCACTAAAATCTAACATTTAACCATTTGTCCCACCCGGGGACTCTACCCTTGCTCCTAGCCTGGCCTTTTCGCTTTTCCTGTCAAAGCCCATACATCCTGTTACCCCAGTATCCAATGGGAGTCTTCTCAGGTGGAACTGAAATTTGTCAAATCAGTGAGCACCTTTGTGTTTCCTGACTATCAGCCATTCCTGGAAGGTGAGAGCCTTCACAGCTGAGATTCCCTCACATCTCTCACTGCTTATGTCAGCATAGAAACGTTTCCTCAGGGTGTGGTGTTAGCACTTGTCAAAGAGTGTCCATTTGCCATGGTTTAACCCTTTGGGGAAATCCCTGGGTGGTTAATGTGCTCAGCTGCCAACCACAAAGGTTGGAGGTTGGAGTCCATCCAGAGGCACCTCAGAAGGAAGGCCTGGTGATCTACTTCTGAAAAACTAGCCATGGAAAACCCGGTGGAGCTCAGTTCTACTCTGAGGTACATGGGGTGTCATCCTGAGTCAGTTGACGCCAACTGGTTTTGTAAAACTCTTAGGGAGTCATGAACCCCTTTGAGGATCTATTAAAAACTTTGGAACTTCTCAGAAAAATAAGTCTTCATTCCAAAATCTGCCAATAATTTTAGATGGTTAGGGCTCTCCAGAATTCCATCTGGGGGATTCACAGAGCCCATATGACCCTTGTTTTCTAAAATACCTTTCAGGTTTTGCTTTTTAAAAAACATTTGTTGTTGAGGTAAAATTCATATAACCTAATAGTAACCATTTTAAAGTATACAATTCAGTGGCATCTAGTATCTTCATGATGATGGGCAACCATCATCTTTATCTAGATCCAAAACATTTTCATTGTCCCCAAAAGAGGCCCTGTAGCAATTAAATAGTCATTCCTTGTTCTCCCCAGCCCCTGACAATCACTAATCTGCTTTCAGTCTGAATTTTTCACATAAATGGAATCATAAAATATGTGACTTCTTGTGTGTTTTTAAAGTTCATCCACATTGGATCATGTATCAGTATTTCATTCCTGTTTATGGCTAAATAATATTCCATTATATGGATACACCACATTTTCCATACCCATTCATCTGTTGATGGGCATTTGTGTGGTTTCTACCTTTTAGTGGAATTATGAATACTGCTGCTATGAACATGTGTACAAGTATTTTTTGAATATTTGTTTTAAATTCTTTGGGGTATATACTTAGTAATAGAATTGCTGGGTCACATGATAACTCTGTGTTTAACTTTTTGAGGAACTGCCAATAAAGTTTTGCTTTTGAATTCAGATATAACTTAACTTCGCACAAAACAAACCTCAGCACTACAGTAATTTTTGACATTTCTTTACCAGTTAAATGCCACTGATTGTTTAAAATTCTAGCTTGAATAAATTATTGGGTAAAGAAAAACAATATATAATCTTACTAATACTGAGATTTTGTGTTTCAGGTCTGACTACAGCCACATATCCTCTGCCAGCAGTAAGTATCTCTTAAATATCCTTCAACATTGTCTTAACAGTTCCCTGAGGTGCCTCTAATGCCATCTACTTGACATATGCTTTAATAGTAAATAAGAACCTCCAAGTGTCCTTGCCAAAGAGAAGGATGTTCTAACTCTGCAAGCGGAGGTTTTTCTTCCAGAATTGAATGTACTTTGATTTCAGTACTAGGTATGCCAGTTCTTTCCCTACAGACGTTCAGGCTGAAGGAACTAGCCTAGGTTTTGTCAGTGCACATACCTCTAGAAACACCTTTTCTGAAGATCTGAAACATTTATCCAATACCTGCTCCCTGCAGGCACTTCTAGAGGGCAGTGGTAGTTCAATGGTAGAATTCTCACCTTCTATGTGAAGAGCGGAGTTCACTTTCCAGCCAGTGTGCCTCATATGCAACCACCCCCTGTCTGTCAGTGGAGGCCTGCGTGTGCTGTGATGTTGAACACATTTCAGCAGAGCTTCTGGACTAAGAAAGACTAGGAAGAAAGGCCTGGGAATCTGGTTCTAAAAAATCAGCCAGTGAAAAACCCTGTGGATCACAGCAGTTTGATCCTCTTGTACATGGGGTCGCTGTGGTGGTTCTGTTTGTGTGTCAGCTTAGCTGGGCCTGGTTAAGTGGCCAGGCAGCTGGAGGTAGTTATTTCCCATGAGGAGACTGGCAGTCAACTCCATGGTGGGATCTACCACAAGCAGCTGAGTAACTGCTTTGGGTATATGGTCTGGTTCCCTTATATAAGAAGCAGTTTTGGGAATGGTCTCTAGCTTGTGGCACACTTGAACTCTGCATGTAGCCATGTCATTGTTCAGCAGTCTGCCATACTCTGCCGACCTTGGGACTTACAGTGGACTTGAATAAATGGCTTGGTAGTAGTTTGGTAACATTGAGACTATGCCTTTTTATTTTTCAACCTTGGGCTTGGCAGCTTCAGCAGCCAACAGCTGAGTGAAGAAATGCGTCTAGCTTCAGCGGGCTGGGAGCAAGAGGCAGAGCTGAAGCCCAAGGCTGAGGGGCTTTCACCCAGCCCCTAAAGCTTGGCACTTTGAACTGGGACTTAAAGTCTCCAAACTATGAGAGAATAAACTGTTTGTTCAGCCATCCCATCTGTGGTCTATTCTTGTCAGAGCAGCACTAGGTAACCACAAGTCGCCATAGGTCAGTCAACTTGTCAACAGCTGACAAGAACAATAGCAGGTACTCTGGAGTCCCTGGGTGGTAAACCAAAAACCAAAACCAAACTCACTGTGATGGAGTCGGATTCAAGTCATAATGATCCTTTCTTGGGTTTCCGAGGCAGTATCACTATGGAATTAGGTTGCCCAACCTTCCTACCGAGGAGTGGCTGGTGGGTTTGAACCGCCAGGCTTCTGGTTAGCAGTCAAGTGCCAAACAATATGCTTGGCTGCTAGCTGAAAAGGTGGCAGCACAAGTCCACCTAGAGGCACCTTGGAAGAAAGACGTACCAATCTCATTCTAAACAATCAGCTATTGAAAACCTTATGGATCACAGTTCTACTCTGAAGCTCATGGGTCAGAATTGAGTCAATGGTGAGTGGTTATTTTGGGCAGGCATTCTACTAATGGGTCGCTCAGAGCACATTTTCTGGATCCCTGGCCTGGTCCCAGCTCATCTGTTGGCAAATTTCCTCATTTGTATTTCTGCATCTGTGGGCAAGTATTAATCCCCTTCCCAGTATGGAGGAAACTTCCTTCTGTGACAAAATCCTGCAAAGTGTGTTGATAGCAACACATATGTAGATTATAATTAGGGAATTCAGGTATCATTTCTTCATTAAATGTAGCTAAGAAGAATACGGGAGCTCTGGTAACTAGTGCCTAAGGCACTTGACTGCTAACCAGAAGGCTGACGGTTCAAGCCCACCAGGCACTCCTCGAAAGGAAGGTTGGGCAATCTACTTCCGTAGTGATACTGCCTCAGAAACCCAAGGAGGGGTCGCTATGAGTCGGGTCCAGCTCAATGGCACGTAACAACAATGACAACAAAGATAAAGACATTTTTATCAATCCAGCTTTCCTTATTTGTTATTTCTAGCTTAAAGGTGATTATTATGTGAATACGTTTCAAAGACACTGAGCATAAAAAGGTGCTTATACTTAATATTAAGAAGCTCTGGTGGCATAGCGGCTAAAGCATTTGACTACTAACCAGATGGTTGGTGGTTCAAACCTACACTAACCACTTCATGGAAGGAAGACGGGGCAATCTCCTTCCATAAAGACTTACTGCCTTGAAAACTCAATGGGGGTCGTCACTATGAGTCATAACTGAATCAATGGCCATGGTATTTTGGTTTTCTACTTAATATTAAATTATTAGTAAATCTATTTGCAAGAAGTTGTGTCTTATGTGCGGGAAGAATTTACAGTCATTAAGAACATGTAAATGACCAGGTCCATTCAGATTGATTGAACATTTACATTAAAATAAAAAATGATTCTTACAAGAGAAGCCCTGAGTTTTTAAAATCAGAAAATTCTGAATTGTTTTGCCCTGCCTCACTGTCCTGCTTGACTCTCAATTCTAAATAGCTCCCAAATGGAGAGACACTTAATTAGATTATTCTGTTTATTGATGTTCAGAATTAGTTTTCTTTTGCAGTAAGAGCCTGCAGAAAGCTGTTGATCTGGAATTGTAATTTAGTGTCAAATTATATTTCATTATTAGTGTAACTGCAATGAGCAATTTCTGAGAATCTGAGCCAACTGGAGACCGAACATTGCCTCTTACTTATTAAGAATCATTAGTAATAATGAGAATCATGCTCCAGTGATTTGCACTCATTCCCTGAAGCCTTTTCCTTCCTAAAATCAGAGAAGGCTCTCTCTCACTCTCACTCTTTCTCCGTGCCACTGTTCTCATTTCTCTCAGTTTTGCCCAGAGGCTACATTTTTTTTAAGAATGATTTTTATAAAATACTTGCCTGAGGTCTTTACTCAATTTGTAGCTCTCAAATCGGTCCTCTGGGTCACAACAAACCACGTCTCTAGTCAGTGAAACCGGTAATTTGGTTTGGGATAGTCTCCTCTCCATTACGTTAATTGCAGTTTCTGACTTGGAATTTCTCTTAATGCCTCTGGGATCAATACCTTTTTGTTGCTTTTCCTTTCACTTTAAATACTTGGTCACAATACCTTTTTGTTGCTTTTCCTTTCACTTTAAATACTTGGTGATTCTTGCCTCACACCTCAGTGGGTGGCAGGGCCTTTTCTTGAATGAGTGTATATGTGTTTCAATTGGAAATGGCTTTGGATAACAATAATAGAACAATAATAGGAGCACTGGTGGCTTAGTGCCTAAGGCATGTGACTGCTAAGGAGAAGGCTGGTAGTTCAAACCCACCAGCCACTCTGCGGAAGGAAGACTAGGAAGACGGGAATCTACCTCCATAAAGATTTACCACTTCATAAAACCAAAAGGGGCTCTATGAGTCAGAATCAACTCGATGGCAGTGAGTCTGGTTTGTTTTTTTGAATAGAACAATAATGGTTTTAACAAGTAGGAGTTTGTTTTCAACTAATACTGAAAAAAAAAAAATAAAAGTCTAGAGGAGGCAGTAAAGATCTTGTGTGAAGACTCTTTTAATCTTTCTGGCACACCATGTTCAGATTTTTGCTTCTATCCTCAGGTTACCTCAGAGTTACAATATGGCTGCTTCTACTATAGTCATCACATCCTTGTTCTGCGCAGGAAGAAAGAAAAGAGAAGGGCAAATGGCACCTGCCGGCTGAGTCATTCCCTCTTTTTAATGAGTTTTCAGTAATTTATTTTATCCTTGTTGGCTAGATCTTGGTTACATGTTAGCCCTATTTGCAAGGGATAAATGTAGTGTATTTTTGGTGTATCGTCATCACCAGTGCAGTCAGGGTTTTATTCATAGGGGAGAAGAAGTGGAGAGTGGATACTGATGGGCACCTGACTGTCTCTGCTCCAGCTGTTGCCTGGCCTGCCTTTCCTGCAGCCAAGAACATAAGTCCCACCCATGCCCACATGCAGAGAGGGCCCGTTGAGCAGTCAGTGAAAGGTAACAGTGGACCCTTTCTGGAAAAAAAATTTAAAATAAGTCTAGAATCTTAGATCTAGCCTTTAAAACATGGACTTGACAGAGTGACAATAAGTAAAAGCGTTTTCCAAGTATATTTTCAAAATAAATTTTCCCCACAAACTAGACACTCATGAACTTAATAGAGAGAAGGTTAGTGAGTTTACTATTTATCCTGAATGATTCAGTTACAGGGTATCTCTGTCACTGTCACTCAGACCTGGTACCTTTCTGTGACCAGCAACATCCAGAGGACTGGGCTAAGAAACCAAACCCACTCCCAGGGAGTCAATTCTGAGTCATAGTGTCCCTGCAGGACAGAGTAGAGCTGCTGCATAGGGTTTCCAAGGCTGTAAATCTTTACAGAAGCAGACTTCCATATCTTTCTCTCACAGAGTTGCTAAGGGGTTCAAATCACCGACCTTTTGGTTAGCAGCCTAATGCCTTAACCATTGCACCACCAGAGGTCCTTGAAGACTGGGCTTTAGCTGCTTTTTTCAGTCACTCTTTGTCAGTCCTGGGAGCCACCTTGCATCTCATTGTCATTCCAGAGCCATTGGTCAGCTTTTCTCAACTAAATGGCCTATTTCTGAGTGTTTCCTGGTTCCTGATTGGACTCCTTGGAAGGAAGGTTGGGCAATCTACTTCCATAGTGATACCACCTCGGAAAGCCAAAGAGGGGTCCCTATGAGTCAGGTCTAACTTGACAGCAGTGCACTGTGTTGCGTTTGTTTTGATTGGGATTTGAGCAAGGATTCTAACCATTTACTTTTTTTGTGTGTTTGTTTGTATTTTTATTGTGCTTTAATTCAGATTTACAGAGCAGAGTTTGTTTTACATTCAACATTTCGTGCATATTTGGTTTCACTCTCCAGTTAACATCCCCAACCCAACCCACTCTCCTCCCTCCCCTTCCCAGTAATT